ACACTACGCATCAATTTCTCTTCCCTTTGTGCTTTGCAGTTTTTAACACGAAGCGCTTACAATGTGCACATCCGGTGTGCAGAATGACGCGCTTGAAGCAACACGTCATTCTGCACACCGGATGCGCACATTGTAAGCACTTTGTGCTCATAGACTGTATAAAAACAGTTCGTGCTGAACTGTATTTTTTTGTCCTATCGTATGCATCATATGTTGTTGCCTTATTAAAAAATATGCTATACATTTAAAATAAATGTATTTTAATTTTATAGTATATACTTATACATTCATTAATGTTTTTAATGAATGGATTTTATAATAATACAAATAGCAATGTGTAACATTTTACCATATTTAGTGCAACACTTTTATTTGTTCCCCACATAATATTGTTTTTTCACTAAATGTTTGGATTTCTAAAATTGTGCACTGATTTTTCTAGAATAACTTTTGCTGCCGAATTATCCACTAACCTAGTTTATGATAATTTTTGTCATAGATTATAAATATACATAGGCCTATATTTTTTCATATTTAATTTCTCTTTATAATGAAGTAGTCTGTATCTAGTAGATTGTGAAAGAATGATTATCAGTTCCACACAGAGATATACAAATTCTACATTTATTTAAATGAGGGGAAAAAAACGTCACTGGTATCGGATTGGTATCGGCCAATACCGAACCCTAGGTATTGGAATCGGTATCGGAGGCGAAAAAGGCGGATCGGAGCATCCCTAATGTAGATATGACATTTGAGGCTTAGTACTATAGAAAAGCAATAAAAGTTTTTCAGTTAGAGTGTTTTCAAGCTTGTTTAAATTGTGATAAATGTAATTAATAATCACAATTTCAAGGGAATAATCGACAATTATGATTTTTGTCACAATCGTGCAGCCCTACTATATACTGTATTCTATATACAGTACCAGTCATAAGTTTGGACACGAATGGGAAGTGTGTCCAAACTTTTGACTATATACTGTACTATAATATAGCCCACACTAGGTATATGCTGGTATCAAATTTTCATGTTGCGATTAATTGCTAATGCTTTTATCACGGTATATGGTATTATCACGATATTGAAATTTAGTTTAAAAAAGTGCTGTCATAATACAGTATAACAGGTTTAATAACTTTTTTCTTATAACAAAAATAACTGAACATTTAAATGCAATAAAGCAATACAGAAAAATTTATAAAGTTAAAAGTTTTACACAGATTAAAGTGCAAAAGAACTATAAAGACCAATAGGTATCACTTATTGTGTAATAGGTTAGTTAACCTTAGTTAATGCATTAACATTCACAATGAGCAATAGCAACATTTGCTACAGAAGTTATTAATCTTTGTGAAAAAAATACAAGACTTAGTTCATGTTAGCTCATTAAATAACACAGCTGCAACTTTCGATTTTAACAACTTGTTATTAAATATTGTAATTACCTAAGATTAATGAATGTTCAGAAGAATTTTTCATTGGCAGTTTATGTTAACTAATGAACTAATGAAGCCCTAATGTAAAGTGTGACCGAAGAATAAAGAATCAAAACACTTTCAAACAACATCTAGGGCATGTTGTAGTCCAGATTAAAATGTTAAAAAAGTTTGAAAATAAATAGCCTATAAAGTCTAAATATTTAAGTATTTGGCTCTGTGATGAACATCATAGCAAATACACAAATCTGAATGGCATTTTAAATCATTTAAACACGATTCAGAAACAGAAAGTAGTGCAGCTGCTTTGTTTACAGGGTTTCCGGGGTAACGGCTGCATTTAAATGAATTATTATTATTATTATCATAATTTCTGCAGTTTAGCGCCATCTGCTGTCAGAGAGTGAAAGTGCGCTTTCATCCAGAGCGTCTCTCACATGTTCCGCCATGTGCTTCTCGTCCGCGCTTATTTACATCAAAGTGCATCTGTCTTTCAGGCAGCATACAGTAGTGTTGTGCATTTTGACCAGTTGATGGGAAAAGTATTCTTAAAATGCATTCAAAATTCAGAATAATTTGTATTATATAATTATTCACGGTATTTAGAAGTGCCCACGATATCGTGCATATTCATTACCGTGATATATCGCATTACCGAATACCGGCACAAGTCTACCACTGATAAAGTCTAGTAAGTTAACATAGGTTAACTAGTGCACGTACGCAAGTCATTGGACATCATTACATGTGTAAAGAATAAAAATGAATGCGCCATAGATCAATAAAAGGGAATAGCCTCTGCACGGACAATAATTAAATGATTTTATTAACTAAACCATATTGCTGATGAAAATAATAATAGAAAAATACAAGTGGTTGTTAATTAATAATGTATCAATGATTTTGAAAAAGTAACAAATTAATACCACTGTTTTAAATAGCAGCCGTTTGAGCTGCGCGTGTTGAAGCTGAAGAGCTGAATGAACATGGTAAACTGAAGCGCTCTTTTAACTTAACCAAACGCATTCTATATGAGATAAATCAGATATACATCAAATAAACACAATATTACAACGTACAATTGCACAAAAGGCTGCAAACGAACAGTGCGCATCTGAAGTGTCTCTGAAGGAAATAATGCATTATTTATCGGCTTTAAGATATCGGCCAAATTTTCTTATTGGGCCGATACCGATAACAGAAAAAATGAGCATTTATCGGCCGATACCGATATGGTGGCCGATATATCGTGCATCCCTAATATCGGTCATGCTCTTATTTGTGTGGCATCTGAGCAGCATGGCTTGTCGGACATAGCAACTGTAACTAAGGGGGCGGGTCTTTCCGAAGGACCAATTCCGTCTTCTGCCACTTTAAATACTCTTTAAAGGGGTCATATGATGCTATTTCAAATGTTCCTTTCTCTTTGGAGTGTTACAAGCTGTTCATGCATAGATAAGATCCCTAAAGTTGCAAAGATTAAAGTCTCAAACCCAAAGAGATATTCTTTATAAAAGTTAAGACTTGTCCACGCCCTCCTAAAATGCCTCATTTAAACACGCCCCCACATGTCTATGTCAATGTGTGGGAAGATTTGCATAACACCACCCAAATGTTCACGCAAAGAAAGAAGGCGTAACTTTTATTCTAGCTGTAGTATTGTTGCCACTGCCGCCATGTCGTGGAGACACTGTGTATTTCGTTGTGAAAGCGAAACTACTTTGTTTGGTCTTCCAAAATAGGAGGATATCCGCTTTGTCATGCCTAGAGCTGATCCGTGCTGGTCGCTGAGGAAATACATCAACTTCACGCTGTGGATCGCCTTCACCGTGGACGAAGCAGAGTCCAGCCCAGGGTCGTCACATGTGGTTGCCGCAAGCCCGCCGACCAGTCCTTCGTCGAATCCGGTGGCTGTTCCTCACTGAAGCCAGCCATGTGTGACGCTGTGTTTCTCGTTGTGAAAGCGAAACTACTTTGTTTGGTCTTCCAAAAGAGGACTCAACTAGAAATCAGCGGTTAAGTTATATTTACAACACTGTTCCAGAACAGTTTAACCCAAATATTCAGATGTGTGCAGCGCATTTTATGGAAGACTGTTTCATGATCCTGCAGAGTAGCCTACAATGCTTCTGTGCAAAGTCTGTTTCTATAAAGTGGGGCAGTTCCAACTTTGCAAGGACAGTCTGGCGCTTCTGACTCACAGCCTGCAAGTAAGTTTTTTATATTTAAACAATTTGCCACTCACAACTCAAACGCGAGTTTTGAGCAGTGTAGATTAGCGCTTGTTGTTTGTCATTTCTCCGATCACAAATACAGACATGGTTTTATGTTTACACAGCACAATATGCAACGTGTAAAAAGACAGTACAAGTCATTATAATCAGTAATTATGTCCCCACTGGATGCAACAAATGCCTCGTTTGTCATGGGTTTTAATGTTTTTGTCTCGTCGCTCCGGCCGGACACGGCATCACAGTATGTGAGGGGCGTAACATTTCCGTCACATGCTTGAGGTATTCGGCCAATCACAACGCACTGGATAGCTGGCCAATCAGAGCACACCTTGCTTTTCAGAAGATGAGCTTTGTAAAAATCGATGCTTTCAGAAAGGCGGGGCATAGAGGAGAAGCAATGTACAGTATGTGGAAAATAGTGTTTTTTTAACCTTAAACCGCATAAACACATTTCATTACACCAAATACACAAAATAAATGTTCTTTGTAGCAGCATCATATGACCCCTTTAAGTGGTTTGGATTCTCATTGGCTGTCAATGTTTTGTCCATGAGCTGGGAAAACCCTTCCTTTGGGTTTTTATCTTTACATTTGTGTGGTGGATTTCATAAAGAACGATTTTTAAAACTTTCTAGTTAACGTCCTTGGTGTGAACAGGCATAATTGCAAGCACACATCCCATCTGGTATCCATAGCAACCTAAAGCTAAGTTGGCATGGAAACAGAAAAAAAGCGCGTGCGCTTGTATTTTTGACAATATGTACCGTTTCTCATCTGACTTAGTTACTTATTTGATTAAAATGTAAAAAAGAAATCAATAACACAACCATATAGAACGTGCTTGACAATTTGAGTGTTGTTCATTTTATTATTTTTATTTAAACCCCTAACTGACTTTTTAAGCTCCACAATCTGACACATTAACCCATTTAACTAAGAAACTGGCGTTTAACAGATAACAGCCATGGTTTACATCCAGGCTTTTGTTTGAGGGGGCAGGGCAGAACAAGGCCACACACACTGGACTGGAAAGAAAACACACAAACTGAGCAGCAAGGACACACACTGGATCCGGCGGCCTGCTGGTGGCTGTGCTAGTGAGCTAATGCTGTTTGGAAAGACCTAACGGCATTACTGCTAACATGGCGTCAAACAAAACAAAACACGCACTGTAAAACGTGAATGCAAACGCCCTTTAAAGCCGCAAATATATAAATTAACCCCCAGAGACACTGTGGTTCGTTCTTACCTTCGCCGTCGACGTTCAAAGAATCTTTAAAGGCAGTACGGCCGAGCTAAAAGCAGCAGCGCTGTGGCCTACTGAACAGCAGTAGGTTTAATCCGCGCACGAGCCGCGCTACCGTCCACCAGCCGCTTCTCCGTTGTATTCCAAGTGTAATATGAGGTATCCGTAACGGTCTGCCGGATCCAAAAATAAGCATTTAAAAGCCGGAGTCACACGCTCAAGATAACAGCAGCTAGACCATACTAACGGGCCTGTTTTCGCTCGTTATTGGGCTGGCCGTATGGGCACTATGCTACCAGGCTAGCTCGACTCTCTTCCCCCCACAACAATGCGGCTGCAGCTCTCCATCGCCTTACGGAATGCGTCATCACGCACGGCGCCATACGCGCAACGTCACTACGTTTCGCGTCAAAAATAAGGAAGTGGGCGCAAGGCAGCCATCAGTAGCTTGTTTTTAGAGGCGTAATGGATGCTGTGTATTGTGTGATCGAAGTTGTTCAGTTATTTATTTTGTTTCTCTATAGGCCGCAGATTAGATAGGAAATACAAAAAAACCCTGTATACGCTATACGCAGAGTATGTGGAGGGGCAACCATTTCTCCTCCTCACTCCAAGCATTCAATAATCACTCCGTTCCAGCTCTGCTCCGGGTTCACCATTTCCCGTTCCTCACTCAACTCGCTCCATGGTTGAAGTATTTCAGTGTTTTGAAATATCACAAAATTCTGTACAGAACTTATATTAAATGAAAAATAAATACACAATACTAGAAGAATAGTTTAACATTAAATTACTGCTTAACTCACTTGTCTGTGCAGCGAATATGAAGATGCTGTAACTTTTCCATTTTTAAGCTGATAAACCACAGTACAGTCTTGACAATTTTCTGCACTCCTGATTGTTTCTGTGTGCACGATCTGTACCTTATGTGCGAGCTTGTGTGTTGTGTGTGTGCGTGCAGTGTAGCAGCACATTAGTTTAGAGCGGAGATTAGCTACCTGTACAATAAACTGTTTAAAACGTGAATTCACCCAATCAATTTTGACTATCCACATGCTACAAACAATAGTTTGGGGCAACAACGTCACCAAATCTGTAGCAATGAAAATCACCAACATACTTAAAAACTTTGTTAATAAATGTTATTGCACTTATTTTCAAATAATTTATTTTAAAAATGTAATTAACTGTCATTTTTTTTAATTCATCAATTTAATGCATCCTTGAACATTTACTTTTAGTCATTTTGCAGATGCTTTTATCCAAAGCGACTTACAATTAGGGAATACATAAAGCGATTTTTCTTAAAGAAGCAAACAGACACAGGAAGTGCTTGTAATACCAAGTTTTAGGCATTGTTCAAATAAGTACAAGTTAGAAAGGGAAAGAATAAATAAAGAGAAAGACAAAGTTTTTTTAGGATGAAGTCCGTTGAATTGAAGTATTGAATTAAAGTAATTTCTTAAAAAAAGCAATGATGATCCATTTGAATGCTACTGTAATTATAATAACAGTCCTCATTATAAACACAAAATAATAATCAACTTAAATAGTCAGTGAAGACAATTAGACTATGTTTTATTTGATGGGGGCAGTGAGGGACCTGAATAATGTGCAGGGGGCACTGGCCCAAAAAAGGTTGAGAACCACTGTTCTGGATGCTCAAGTCGTAGTATTATAACTGAAACTGCTTAGCTTATAATTGTTTTCCCCCCAAAAAAATTTTGTTTTCCATGCCTGTTAAAGTAATGAAATTTTTTTATGAATATATATTTGAATAATATTCTAATATATATTTATTAATATTTTCTGTGTTTTTTTCTTATGCTCAGCTTTCAAATATAGGCTACCATATGGCCAAAAATATGTGGACATCCATCTAATAAATGTCAATGAATCAGTGATTGAATAATATATGAATAAATGATTCATTAGTGGTTCTGTCTGTATTTTAATATTTATTTATTTCAAATGTTTACCCAGTTGAGACACAGGAATTGCTACATTAAGTTATGAAATTAAGTTATGAAATAGTTATTTCTAAATGTTCTCTGAACGTTCAAATTCAAAACATACAGTTTTTAAATATTTTTATAAACATTTGGGAATGTCACTTTTGAAAGTTCTTTGAACCATCTGAAACTACTAAGAAGTAACATTTAAAAACATTAGACGAACATCCAACTAAACTCTTTCAGAAAAACGTTCTATAAACAATGTATAAATCATAGTTTTGTGCTAATATGAATAAAGACCAGATCATTTTGAGTGAATGTTCTATTAACGTTACTGGAAGAATGTTTGTTCATAACTCTGAGAGAGCCAGAATGTTAGCTAAAGTTCTGAGAATGTTTCATGTTAGCTGGGTGTACTGTAATTACAAATCATGGGAAAGTCACTGATCAAAAAATGTGGGAAATTTTGACCTGCAATTAGTTACACAACTAGTGTAAAGCGCTTGATTCAGCTGTCAACTCATCAAGTTTATTATTATGATTATGGACTCATATGTTAATGTAAACCCTAGGCTGTGGTAAATTAGTTATCTTGAGTAAACTGCTCCAGTTACATTACAAGCATTGACAGAAGTCAAGTCTTCTTATCAGTCCAGCAGCTCATATGGTGAAAAATGAAGAAAAACCTGAATTGATTTTCCGTAGAAGAGTGACAATTGGTTTGTGGAAAATTATAATTTTGTTATTAATTCTATTTCCACATTTTATTACTGTAATATACTATAAGGGCCATTACATGTCAAATGTATTTTGTAGCTGGTATATGTGACCATGGACCACAAAACCAGTCTTAAGTGCCAATTTTTCAAAATTGAGATTTATACATCATAAGCGTTTACATTTATAAGCTTTCCATTGATATATGGTTTGGTAGGATAGGACAATATTTGGCCAATATACAACTATTTGAATATCTGGAATCTGAAGGTGCAAAAAAAATTCAAAATATTGAGAAACTCCCCTTTAAAGTTGTCCAAATGAAGTTCTTAGCAATGCATATTACTAATCAAAAATGAAGTTGATATATTTATGGTAGGAAATTTACAAAATATCTTCATGGAACATGATCTTTACTTAATATCCTAATGATGTTTGGCATAAAAGAAAAATTTATAATTTTGACCCATACAATGTATTTTTGGCTATTGCTACAAATATACCCCAGCGACTTAAGACTGGTTTTGTGCTCCAGGGTCACATATTTGATACCTTAGTAACAGTAGGTAGAATTTAACAATCTCAGGTGATTCTACATCTGGATCATGCATTACATAGCGAATCATTAAGTCTCATACAGCTCTCCGACAGTAATGCTTTAACACCAATGTGTCATCACATTTGCATACCCCGTTGACTAATGTTAACTACTCAGCAGGATGTTTGGGCAGTTCTTGTGAGGGGTGAGTCAGATACACAATCTGTGGCTACTTCCTCATGTTCAAAATCAGATTTTGGGAATGGACTGACGTGAAAGGAACTGTAAGAATATTTGGAGTATTTTCTAATTTATTTTACTAAATGTTCTAAGCTATCGGTCAGGTTTCTACCAATCAGTCCTCAGTTCCACTATCTGTAGGGGGCACCATCCTCAAATACAGTGTAAAATGAAAACATAAGGATGTCATTTAAATGCAAGCACAAACCACAATTTACATATGAAAGGAATTTATTGTGTCCAATATAAAAAAATAAATGTTTCACCAGTTCAAAAAAAAAAAATCCAGTCACAGTGGAAGGACTCAAACACATTTTTACTTCCACTTCACATGGAGAAAAAACTGATTCTAAATTTTACACTACATCAGAAAATGGCATCACTAAACATCTCAATTGTATATTTGTATCAGTATTAGATAGCTTTAGCGTGTCTATGATCCTTTAGGTTAAACTAAAGATAAGCCCAAGAACTCTTTACATTTAACGATTTTAATTTATTTTTTGCAGATGGTATGAAATGAATAAATAAATAAATAGCCACTGAATGTGGAATGTTTGTATTGCATGAATAAATAAGATACATGGAAGAAAATGTACATAAATACAATACAAATACTTGTATTTAAAAAACAAAAGTCCCAAAAAAAGAAAATAAAAAAGATTAGGAAAGATAAGTGAGTCCATGAATATTGCATTGATTATGCACATCACTCAAGTCTCTGCTAAGCAAAGTCTAAAAAGTGATGTCAACAGAGATGAAGTAGTGGAAGACATTCAGAAAACAACAACAGAAGGGAAAACCACTGAAATAGTGAATATGAATGGCAGAGCAGCAGAGATACTGTTAAGAGAGTAGTAAGTGTGTACTTCAAGTATTCGACCACTAGAGGGTAAGGGAGACCCACCACATAACTAGATACAGTCTTTGAAGGTTCCCATGAATCCAGAGGAGTTCCCCTCAAATCCATGAAAATCCACCTGGTGTCTGTCGTGACTTGAATCCCATAAAAGCAGCTTTCCAAAAAAGGCACCGAAAACTAAAAAGATAGTCTAAAAGGAAAATAATGTCCAAGCTCTATAAGAGCAACCAGTAAGATCAAAGGATCACTAGCATTGCTGCTCACGCAATCCCTAAAGATAACAACTCACCCTTAGCAAGAAAAACAACCAAAAGACATTTATGCAACATAAACCGAAGTCCTGTTAACCAACAGACTGGGAACAAGAGCAAAAAGGTCTCAGAGTCCATTCACTCGTCGTCCCCGCATCCGTCAAAGGCTTTCTTTGCCCGATTCTGTGCTGATGGCGTGAAGTGTGATATCGCCGCTTTCTGCTTTCGGGCTTTCCTCCATGCGCATCCACTGATGCTCGAAGATCTGCTCCAAAGTGGGCCGGTCGGAGGGTCTCAAGCAGAGGCACCATTTGATGAGCTGCTGACACACTGATAAACAGAAAGAAAAAAGCCAGAAAGGTTCAACTTCTCATCCACAAAAGGGTTTAAAAATTAAAGTCTGGACTGTTTACATTAACCAATTTCACTTTCTGCAAGGCAAAAATAATATATAACAAAAATATAAATTAGAACTAAATATATTGTTTAATGGCATTTTTTCCCTTCCTTTTATGATATGGCATGGTGAGCCAAATCATTATGGGTCAATTTTGGCCCCTGGTTTGGGGTATCTCTGGTTCAGAACATACCTGGAGAGACTCTTCTCCTGAAAAAGAGCCGTCCTCTCAGAAT